TGGCCACAACGAATCTATTAAATTATATAATTAAATTAAAACTGTGCAGAACCTAGTTTAGATTTCAAACGTATCTGGAAACAGATGGGAAAATTTTTCTCTTGGAGGTAGGGCTTAAAATAAAACAAAACATTTTTTTTTTCTTTCTAAGGGCAAGGAAGTTGAAGAATAGTGACCATTTTCACAATTTGGTTTTTAGAATAAAATAAGCCAATCACCATCCTTACATAGAAAAGTAAAAGAATCTGCCTATGAAAGAAAATAATTAAAATACAGCAGTTTTGCCCATTAGATTCAGAGTAAAATCTTTTCTTTCTATCTTTCCCTTTCTTTCCAAGGCAATAAATAACTTGATTTTATTAAATCAGTGGTAATAGGGGTGCAATTATGACTGGATTATAAAGACAATTATGTGAGAAATAAGGTCAAGAAAAGTGGTAAAGGTCACATTAGAAGGGATTATCATATAGTTTAATTCTTTCTTGGAGGTTTGGATATCCTTATTCCTGTGTGAAAAGAAATATTTCTGACTTTTGAGAATCACTTCAACGGTGAGGTGGGTGGCATATACATTTAATAAATATTTATCCCGCCTTTATGCCATTCTTTAGAACAAATATAGATAAGGTTAATAAACAGAAATGTTGTAATTCAGCTGTAAAAAATTTGTTATGGAGTTAAAAATGGAATGTGAGCAAGCCCAAGTTCTAGTACAATAGCACAAGACTAGTCTCCTGCCTTCAGGTTTCTCCTTTAAATAATTATAAAGTGCTTCTGTTTGACCAGTGTGCTTCTGAAGAACTGTACTGTACTGTTATCTTTATTTATACAAAAGTTCAAACAAAAAAATTCAACTGCTTGAAATATAACCAAGTAAATTAACATAACTGGTTTGGGAGATATCTTATTACTGCGAACCATATTCCAGCATAGTTTAAGACTGCAATAATATAATATATGGTTATGGATGAATTGCACTTAATTTTACTTAGTAGTAGTCATTTTTAAACTAAAATGGATATCATATTATATATGATATGATACATAAATCCAGCGAAATGTAGTATTTCTTGAGTATTAATTGAAAGTTAGAGTGGTATAATTTACATGTGTTTTGAAAATATGCTGTGGTTATGCACAACTAGAGAGATTTTTTTCAAATACATTTTTCAATGCAAATAAAAAATGTGTAAATAATTATATCTCAGCAATTGGCTAAGATATTTTTTCTTCATTAAAAAAATGAAAAATTGACAGTATTCATCACTCAGACTTTCCTTGCCAAGCTGCATGTGATTGGGATAAATTATCTTCACTATAAAATGATTATACTGTTAAACTGTTGTAGTTGAGCTGTTTCCTTAAAGAAACCTGACTTATACAACCACCCCCTTTTCCATTCCAGTTTTCTTCTTAAACACTGTACAGAAACTACAAGACAGCTTTTTCTTATAGGGTCATAATCTATTTGACATAATAAATATGGAGAAAAAATGCAACCAGATGCTAGTACTAGTTGTTACATATAATAGTAGTTTTAACTGTTCAGTTAGGTCCAACTCTTGGTGATTTTACAGGCAAGTCCTCTCCAAGGCTATCCTGTCAAGCACAGCTTCTTTCAGTTGTTGGATATTCATCTTTGTATCAGCTTTGATGGTATCTTTGCTTGGCCCATTTTCTTGATCCACTAACCATTCCTAGTATCATTGAATTCTCCAATGAATTTGCACGTATGACATGGCTGTCTGTGCTAGATGCAATAATTTACGCCAGCACCACAGTTCAAAGGTGTCAATTCTTCTTTGATCAGCCCTTCTTAGTGTCCAGCTCTCATACCCATACATCATATGTTACATGTACTCTGTGCCATTTACGTTCAAAGAATGCCCCAGTGCTCTTGAATACTGTATTCCTCAGAAAGCACAAAGGTTTAAAGAGAGATCCTAGATTCTTGCTCAGCTAAATAACCTTAGAATCATCCTACACATCCTTGAACTGAGAAGGAAAGGGGGAAAGGGAATGTAGAAAGCAGTAATAATGGATTTTTCCCCTTCCCACTCTAGCACTCTTGGATAACAAGTAAAGCTTATGCCCAGATAGGACTATGATTGCAGCCATTTCCTCTGATCTCTGTAGGTAAGCTTCCCTGCCTTTCCTAATCTTTGTCCTCGGGGAGCATGTGTGTCTTGCCAAAAGCTCTCTTTGCAGAGAGTGTCCATGCAGAAGTGTCCATTGCAATTGTACTCGGTTCTGCTCTATCTTCACATGTCAGTGGAATTGCTTAGCTTAGTTATCATTCCATTATAGTCTTTGTGGGGGTTTTCTGTAAACAAATATAAAACAGACCTGGCAGTGGTTAAATTATGCATGCAGTCTGGGGTTTGTCAGTTTTTATGCCAGTGGGAGAAATTTAGGTTTGGCTCTTATACGACCGGTATGAAAATTACTGATGATACATATCCAGCAATGAGATATGACTTATTTAGTGTGTCTCTTCTGGCCATAATCACATTTTAATGTGGTGTCTGCATTGCAACAAAACTCCCCTAGTTCAAGTAGTCATCTTCCTTCTGCCTTGAGTGGAAAGATTTTAGGGATCTGCTTTAGGTTTCTGTTCAATTGGTTCACCTGTTTTTGCTTAAAGCTCAGCACATCTGCTTTATGTTACTGTTGGCTATTTTAAGATCCACTGCATGGTTAGTCAGAAGTATTGGAAAAACAACAACAACAATGAGAACACTTCATTAACAATCCGTTGGCCCAGTTGCTTGTCTGCTTTTGAACTCTGTGTGAATAGCACATTTGTGGTCATGTGGCTTGCTGACTGTAATGTGACTGTTTTGTAAGCAATTGCTTGCTCATCTAACTAGCCTCAAGTGCAGCTTAACAGTATCGGCAGTGATCATTCAGATGTACCACAGGCTTTATATAGGCCTTACAGTAGCCTCATTGAGTTGTCTCTTAACATGGGGCCTGGCAGGCCCCTGCGAGAGAAGGATGTGCCGCTTGAGCCAGATGTTTCCCTATTAGTTGCTGGGCAAAGGCAGCTGCATATGCATTTAACACCATCTCCTTTGAGCATTTTTAAATGCTTCAAGAGAGTCATACCATCAAAAAGCTGCCAAACTCTTGTACTTGGACATTAAAAACTTGGTGAGGCTTCTGATACAGCTCCCCTGGCCAGGAACAGTGCAAATTTCTTTGTGTGTCTTGCTTCATGGTTCTGAAATCTGAGTTACAGGAAACTTGTCTTGGGAAGGAAAAAGCTAATTCGTTCTCCATGGCCTCTTCAGCTTTTGGCTTCTTTGCTTAAGCCAATGCCAGTTGGAAGGATGAGTGTTATCTGTTTCCATACACAAAGAGGAACTATTGTCCAACAAATATGAATTCTATGTGTTTATTTGAAAATGATGGGCCATTAGAAAAGCTTTCCTGAAATGCTGATGTTTAATGTGCAGTTACATAATTAGAATCCAGTGCTTATATACCCTCAGCAAGACAGATGGGCATATCCTATTATGATTCTGCTCTTTGAATTTAGTAAGCTGCCAGGATTTAATCTGCTAAATAAACAAATCCCTTATTTTGTTTTTGAATACCTGGAGGAAAGAAAACTAAAGAAAAAAAGTTATTTTTTAAAACTAAAAGCCTAATTCTAATTGGTCAGTTCTTCATTATACAGGCAGCTCCCAACTTTACAATTGATCACTTAAACTATTCAGAGATATGACAGACTTTCTCAGAAGTACTTACAACCTGGTTTTGCAGTTATGAGGGCTGTGTATGCAGACATACACACACACACACACGAACACAGTAATGTGATTGGGCCGTTGGCAACTAGCTCACCTTTATGGTCATTTGCAGCTTCCTTTAGTCATGTGACCACAATTTGACTTTTTTGGTAGTTTACTTCTGGTTTCTGGCAAAAAAATGGCCACTAGAAAAAAAATAAATTTGCTTAATGACCCCAGTGTTAGCTTAACAATCACAGCATTTGTTTAACAAACACCACAAAAAATGTTGAAAAACAGGATCTGGTCACATAATGCCTAACAACCATAATTCTGGGCTCGATTACAGTTGTAAGTTGGGGACTACATGTAATGTCTCTTTATTTTGTATTGTAATATGTTTGGGTTTGATTTGTTAAGTCAGATAGTGTGTTATGATGTCATTTGGAGATGTGAGTTAATTTTTTTATGCTGTGAATTTACTTTATGGTGTAATAAATATGAATTAACAATAAAAAACATATACATACTCCTAAAATACAGCAACAATATCAAAATAGTGATGTCAAATACTGTAAAATATAATAGAAATTTTAATATTCACAATTATTGATCACAATTTCTTCCCTTCTGCTCTCCTTGCCTTTTTCTATAGTATGCTAAAAATCAAGCTTTGGAATTTTCCATAATTGTGAATTATGTTTATCTGCCCTGGTCAATTGCAAAAATGTAAAAGTTTCTTGAAAAAAATCCTGAAGGCTTTTCTGCATGACGAGTCATTAATGGAAAGTTATTGCGACGTACATATTTTGTTCAAAGAACATAGTAATATATTCTGAGTTATCACTCATGGGTTGCCATGAATGTAACCATAATTAATCATTTGGCTTTAGCAATCTTCTTTGTGATCTTTCATTTGTTTGTATATTTATGGATATAAAGGAAGGTCTTACAACAGAAGCTCAGTGGAGGTCTCTGGAGATTCTCAACCATCCAGGTCATAGTTGACCCAAAGGTGCTTTTCCAAAAGGCAACTGGGCTTTGTTGTTTTTTCCCCTTAAAAACATTTCACTTCTCACCTGAAAAGCTTCTTCTGTTTAGAACTGAAAAAGCTTCTTGGATGAGAAGCAAGACATTTTCAAGGAAAAAAACAAAGTCCAGTTGCCTTTTGGAAAAGAACTTTTGGGACATACTTACTGAAGTTTCACATTTGTCCAAAATGAATTATGTGAGCAAAGTAATTAGAGCATTATGATATTATTACAGGTTGAAGCTATCTAATGAAGAAATTCGGCAGGCAATTTTGAAAATGGACGAAGAAGAAGATCTGGCGAAAGATATGTTGGAACAGGTGAAAAAACTTAGTTACTTAAATATGACGTCAGTGGTAAAAGGAGAGTGTGTTCCTCTTCTCATTAGATTACATCTCAGCAAGCAATTTGTATAAACATGCCAGCATGATGATCAGATTACAGTAGTGGCCAAAATTGTGGAAACCTTTTAGGAAAAGTGTATTTTTGAGGTTTGATGGCTAATAACATCACTTTTTTTGGAGTAGTACCATAAAATTATATATCAATGGAAAGATAATTTAATCAAGAATGTAATGCAACACAGTTTGTTCAATTATCTGTACTGTAGTCTATGAAAAGTTATAGCCAAATAACCAGAAAAAGGAAGCACAACTTGCTTAGGTTGATATTCAGGTAGCTTTCCTTCATCTGATTGTAACCAATGAGCATGAGTGTTTAGAGAGCCAATCAGGTGTCACCTTGTCTTGGCAATGAGCTAATCAGATCACAGTAGGATTCAGTTATTAATGTCATGTATTGAAGCTGAGAGGAGGACATTTGTCAGTATGTTACATGATCGCTATCAAGTTGGTTGGGTTTTTTGTGTTCTTTCATTTAGTGAGGTTGTAAAACGTAATAAAATTAAAGTAATGGTGCAAAGAGTTGACTGGTTGCCCAGAAAGTGATGTAAAATAGTATTATTAAGTGAACAAGGCTACAGTCATAAAGAAATTAGGAGAAAAATTGGTGGAAACTTAACCAAAGGTGGCATTTCTACTGTACACTTTTCCCAAAAGGTTTCCACAATTTTGGTCACTACTGTACTTTCAGATTTTTTCCCCTCCAAAGTTCCTCACTGCTGTTGGGTTGATGAGTATAATAAGGGTGTAAATAGATTGTTACTAATGTCCTTGTACTTTAGGTGAAGAGTTATTGGTCCTGAACATGAAAAATAGCAGGGAGAAAGAGATTTTTAAAATCTGGGAGAAAGAAAGAAGGCAGAAGGAACAGTATAATGTGTATTGGTATTTCACAAAAACAGCAAAATCATTAGAAGAAGCCTGTGTTCATTTTAAAATACATTTTTTTCTAACTTTTGCAACACTAGTTATCCCTATTCCTTTTCCATTCCTCACATGTCTTGTCTGGGAAGATGCATTCATAAGTATTTTATCTCTCCCTGTTAATTTGCTATTGTAATCTTGACAGCTTGAAATTCTATGCTGTCTTGTATCCCTATTTATTACTATAATTTCTAGACTCTTACTCGAATGCCTTGGGAATTACAAAGACAATAAGAGAATGGGTATAAACGTTTTTCAATCAATAAGTATTCCAAAAGAAAGTGACTTAAAGCATTACTCATTTCTTGCGTGGACTACATTCACGAGACAGGATTATTTGTACTAGGAATGAACGGTGCTTTGAATTTGAAGGGGAGAAGTTGCTTCAGAGCACGCCAAGGCATGAACATTGCACCTGTCAGCAGCTCTTTAAACTTGTCTTTTCCCAGGATCACGTGCAAGCATTGGAGGGAAAGAACAGCTGAGCTACTTTAAGTAGTTGCTAACAGGTGCTACGTATCCCCATGCTTTGAAGCATCTTTTTAAAATCTGTGACATTGCACAGCCTTGCCTATGTGTGTATACACACATGTACACGTAGCTCTTTTGGGGTAAAGTGTGACATAGTAAAAGTGAGCTGCAATGACCTTTAGCAAAGCAATAATTAGGGACCATAGAGACATTCTTGGATTCAGTGGTGGCTAATGCGTGTGATATATTTAACTTTACCTGTTATACTTTTTGAGGAGAAACTCAGCTATTTTCCAATAATACTGGTCTCTTAAAATTCCTGTTCTCAAGGTCTAAGGCTAGAGATGGCTAATTACAGGTAGTCCTCAACTTAACAACAGTTCGTTTAGTGACCACTTTTTATGGTATGGGAAAAACAAAATCCATAAGTACTTTCAAAACCACTATATAAGAAATGCATTGGGTATGTCTAGTTTAATGAAGAGAAGGACGAGGGGGGACATGATAGCAGTGTTCCAATATCTCAGGGGCTGCCACAAAGAAGAGGGAGTCAAGCTATTTTCCAAAGCGCCTGAAGGCAGGACAAGAAGCAACGGGTGGAAACTAACCAAAGAGAGAAGCAACCTAGAACTAAGGAGAAACTTCCTGACAGTTAGA